CAAATTTTATTCCTAAGACATTTAATAATAATTATACTTTAATAATAATTATACTTGAAATTAACTATTTCAAATTAATATTAAAAAACGCATCTTAGTGGGATTTGAACCTGGGACCTCTGGATTATGAATCTTCTGCGTTACTTACTATTACATCACTTCTTCAATTGATAAGTATGTTATTTACTTCAATGTGTACTTCAATCAGCTAATCCACCGCACAAAATTACATAGATACAATAAAAATATCAACATATATATAATGATTTAATACATATATATAATGAAATATAAACAATTTACATTACTATGAGACGACATTGAGTAAGAGTCAAATAACCTAATCTCGCTTGGCTGATCTCGCGCTACAATCAGAGTAATATTCGGGATGTGTTCGATTTGATTTGCGAGTTAACATTCTTTTATTTCTAATTAAAGAATAATAAAGAACATAACTGAATTATTTTTACGTTATTATAAAGTTTTTTGAATTTAGTTGGATTAAAAATTTCCTACTCATAATTTTGAATAAATTAAGTGACATTTATGGTTCATTTTTAAATAAAAATTTTATATTTTTAAATAAAAACTTTAACTAAAATTTTTTTTATTTAATTGGATTAAAAAATTGCATTTCCTATTCAGAATTTTGAGTTGAGCAATTCACGATGCACAGAAAATGCTAATAAATAAATGCTAATATTAGTAAATGCTAATGCTAGTATAGATTAAAAAGTCCTATAAATGAATAAAAATACATTCAGGATTGAAAAGGCAAAGACATTTGCTTCATGCAATTCCTATAAATGAATAAAAAATGCATTCAAGATTGAAAAGCATTCATTGTAACATTCCTAAAAACCGTATTTCTGAAAATTTGAATCCATTCCAATCTATTTTAATCCATTCTTGTTCACTGGATTACACATAATTCTTTTACATTACAAACGATTTTGCATTCTGGCTCTGGAGCTTAAACTAGACAGGCCTGTACGTGCTAGATCCTTCGAGCATGAGCGAGCGTGCATATGATGAGCGTTTTATGCAAAGAATTAACACATTGTAAGGATGCGATTATATGTAGCACGGTACGCAGTACGCGATACAGTAATTAACTAGGTAACTATAGAAACCGCACAAACCGTGCCGCTTGCTTCTTTTTCCTGCTATTATATGAAGTAAGCCGCGGTAAGCGGTACGAACTAGTGACACATTCACATTACTAAGCTACTTTTTAATAGAATTAATTGATTTAAATGCAATTATTAAATAAATTCATTGAAAAAATAAGAGTATTGATGAAATATGCATAGAAATAAGTTAATATATTAAAAAAAATTCATATTAAAGTTAATTTGTCACTAGCCCATGTGACTTACTGTGCTTTATGTAATAGGAGGGAAAAAAAGAGAGCAAGTGGTTTGCGCGATGTTTACACAAACGAGAATGGATTGAAATGAAAAATTTCAAATTTTCAGAAATATTGATTCACAAAGGTTAAAATGAATGCTTTTCAATCCTGAATGCATTTTTACTTATAAGAGCATGGAGCATATTTCTATGCCTTTCAATCTAAAAATAATATTAGCTTTTCCTGTGCAAAACAACACAATTGTGAATACTGTTCGATTCAAAATTTTGAATAGACAATTTTTCAATCCAATTGCATCTAATTGAATATAATTGAATCCAATTGATTCCAATTAAATCTAAAAAAGTATTCACTATTTAAAATACGCATTCGGATAGAAAAAAATTTCAATCCATTTTAATCCATTCTTATTTGCTGGGTATAAATTCCGCGGGTATATGTACCGCGTACTGCGTTACGTGCAATCGCACCCTAAGAGAAGTTTGTGAATGAGTTTTTGTTCCTCTGATCCATGTCCTCTACATGAGTGAGTCTACACTATACTTATTTATATATATATATA